GGCAAGTGCAAGGGCCCGAGTTCAATCCCCGGTTCCGCCAAAAAAAAGAAAAGAGTGCTCACTCCAGTAACACATACGCTAAAATTGGAATGACACAGAGAAGATTAGCATGGCCCCTACACAAGGATGACACGGAAATTTGTGAAGCATTTCATACATATATTTTTTTTTGGGGGGGGGGCTGCTCAGGCTGCCTGAAGGGTGGGTCTGGTAAAGCAGGTGGAGGTGGGGATGCAACCACGGTATCCTGTGCCTGACTGCATTTGCAGGATCAGGAGCTTAAACAACTGAACTAACCCGGCAGGCCCCCCATGTAGGTTAATAAATATTAGTAATTATCTACCATGTTGAAATTTTAAAATGTATGATGTGCAGATAAACATAGTTTCTATTGCAAAGCATTTTATTGCTTTTTTTTTTAATTTACAGATTTCAACCTGTCTGATTTTATGTTCAGTACACTCATGTTTCTTTGCCTAGACTGGCCATGTATTGTCTAACTTATCTTCAAAAGTTACAGTACATTTCTACATATCTTCTTACTGATGTACACTGTAAATTATTAACAAGAGAATACCATTATTTCAATAAACTGAAATAAAAATGTAAAAGAAAAAGGAGATGAGATGCTGGAAGTGGACGAGACAGAACACAAAACAGAAGCTCTCCATAGACAGGAGGGAATTCAGTCAGGAGAAAAAGTTACGTGTTGACGGTGGGGGGGGAAGAAGTTTAAAACATCAGAAGAGTTCTACAGAAAACATTAGAATAGAAAGGTTCTGGCCCAGAATAATGGGTCTATCAATTAAGACACTGATGGTGACCCTTTTAGAGCTTTCAATAATACAAACAGCCCATTCTGACGCATGCATGACAGGTTTACCACCACTGAACCAAGAAATAGAACCAGAGATGTCTTGGGCTGTTGGATTCAGAATTGATTAGGTTTGATCCTGGCTGTACCATTTCCTGGCTGAATGATTTGGGTAAACTACTTAACAAACGATTATTTAACAAACTATTCAACAAATAACAAACCAAGATCATTAGGTTAAATTCTGAGCATAGGTTCTGGCAGACAACACATCCTCAAAGTTAGCTGCCTGGGAAGTACAAGGTCCTGCACCTGTTCCCTGGTACCAAAAAAAAAGGGCTGTAGGTATGTTAAAAAAAAAAAAAAAAAAAAAAAAAAAAAAACAAAACTGCAGGGGACCTGTGGGTTAGCTCAGTTGTTTAAGCACCTGCTGGGGCAAACCTAGTCAGGCACAGGGGACCGAAGTTCAATCCCCAGTTTCCCATCCCTTACCAGACCTAAGGTCTGGTAAGGGATTATCTAATTTAAGGCAGCCTGAGCCAGCCCAAAAATTTAAAACAAAAACAAAAAACCTGCACTTGAGGGCTGGTGAGGTAGCTCAGCGATGTAAAGCGTCTGCACAGGCAAGCTTAGGCAAGCACACAGGGACCAAGGTTCAATCTTTGGCCCATGGTGCAGTGCCAGCCCCACCCTCAGGGTGGGCTGGGCCAGTCACAGGAAAACAAAACAAAACAAAACAAAAACCCTGCGCTTGAGCCAGGCACAAGGGTACACACCTATAAGCCCCAAACTGGAAGGGGGAAGGAGCCATGGGCAGGGTCATCCTGGCAAATTCAAGGCCAGTCTGGGCTACCTAGAGTTGAAGACCAACCTAAGCTATATAGTAGATGTCACCTCAAAATAAATAAATGTTACATGCCATCCTAAATTTGTAAGCCAGTAACTGTCACCGAGAGAATGTAAGAGTGCACAGCCAACCAATCTTTGACTTGCTGATGTTCCAAAAATTACAGTAAGACAAAGTCAAAGTAAATGAAGGGTGTTAAAATTTCACTGATGCCAGAGATACTGCTCATTGGCATGAGCACCTGCCTGGCAAGTGCAAGGACCTGAGTTCAATTTTTTTTTTTTTTTTTTTTTTTTCTTTTCAGAACCAGGGATTGAACTCAGGCCCTTGCACTTGCCAGGGAAATGCTTCTTCTACTAAGCCATCCTCCCAGCCCCAAATTCCTGCTCTTGTTTCTGTATTTTAGGGAAGGGTTTACAGGGTGTTCAGGGTCTCATTACTAGATCAGACTCATAGTAATCCACCTGTTCAAAGCCTCCCAAGTGAAAAAAAAATAAATAAATAAAAATTTTAAAAAAACACACAATAAAAGGGGCTGGGGAGATGGCTCATTAGAATAAGCACTTCCCTGGCAAGCACAAGGGCCTGAGTTCAATCCCCGGTTCCACAAAAAAAAAAAAAAAAACACAAAAAACAAAGCCTCCCAAGTGTTGGGATTACAGGTGTGTGCCACAACGCCCAGTCTCAATTGCCATCTCAGTGTGCCCCCGGGGGCGGGGCTGGCATGGCAGGCCAGGAGATAGAACCCCTGGCCCAGGGATCAAACCCCTCGCCCCTGCACCAGCTTGCAGGTGCTTTAATCCGCTGAGCTATTTGGCCAGCCTCCCGAGTTCAATTCCTGATATCATAAAAATAAAAAGAATGTATGTGTTCACTGATGAATGTAATTATGCAAACATACATTTATTTATGTATTTATTGTCTTTTTGAGACAAGGTCTCGCTGTGCAGCTCAGACTGGCCATGAGCTCCCTTTGTAGTCCAGGCTGGTCTCAAAATCACAATGATCCTCCTGCCTCAGCATCCTGAGTGCTGGGATTACAGGCATGTACCTCCAGGTCCAGGGCTTAATAAACTTTTTTAAATTATAAAAAAAAATTATCTATTTAACAACACCAACCTACCCCACCCCACCCCCACACACCCCAAAAGAAGCCCAATATGCCTGTAATCCCAGCAGTCAGATATGGAGGCAGAAGGATCAAGAGTTTGAAGCCAGTCTAAACTATGACCTAGACCCTATTTCAAAAAAAAGACCAGGATGTAACTCAGAGGTACACCACCAGCGTGGCAGGCGCGAGGCCCTGCCTTCAATCCCTGGTACAAAACAACAACAAAAGAATAGACTTCCATACTATGACAGAAATCACAGGCTTACAAACACCAAAACGACTTCAAGTTATTTACCTTACCATTACCACACAACTTTCATACTGCTTTTTATCTAAGCCAAGAACTGATCAAAATGCAAGAACCTGGCAGTCAGTGAGCACTAGAAGCACTCGGTCTACAGTCTGGAGGATTCGGGGCATCACAACGCGTCCACTCCCGGATTCCAATACACACCACAAGCACTTTTCATGAGTACTCCATTTCTCTCTCACTAAAATCCTTGGGAAGCTGTAACAGATTGTCTGTCCTGGCTACAACCAACCAATAGGAGAAGAGGAACATTACAGATTTTAAATAACTCCTCAGGGATGAAGTGCCTGCTCACACAAGCCCAGGGACGGGGGTTCGATCCCCAGCACCACATGACCAGGCATGGTGGCCCATGCCTGTAACCCCAGTGCTGGGTAGGCTGAGAACAGGAGTATCACTATGAGTCCAAGCTGCACAGTGAAAGAAACCTTGTACCAAATACATAAAAATAAATTAATAAAATAACTTCTCAATGTCCGAGGGGAGCTCTCCTGAACTAGAACAATTAAATATCCTTTAAGGGAAAGGCAGAAAACCTCAAGAATTCAACATAAAAGAATGCAATCTAGCGTGAAAAAAGGAAGTTATTAAAATCTTCCAAGACGTTGAATTCCTTCAATCTGAACTGTTACCCTCAAACATTTCACATGAGCAAAAAGGGCAAGGATTATCAAGCATTCCTAGCTTATCATCTGTCCGTGTAGGGCAAAGCTCTGGAAGAACAGTAAATGTCATCACTCTGCAGGTCGCCAGGAACCAGGGTTCTGCAGCCAGCCCCGGCCTCAGGAGTGGCAAAGCCTTCCTAAAATAGCTATGACTTAAACACAACCGCTCATCAAACACCTCACACACAAATGCTCACGCACAAGAATGCTGAAACTGGGTCACTCCTCAAACCATGCCAGAGGTAAACGAAAATGCAACTGATTAACTGCCACCTACTTGCAAGTGACAACCCCATTCAAATTTAAGTATGACTTGCTCGCCCTTAAAATAGTCTCTTCTCTCAATCAATGTGACTGTCTCAAAACCAAAATTTTCCCACCTATTCTTAAGTCACCGTCCTAAAAGCAAATAGAACCGGTCTCTGAAACCAAACAAGGGAAAAATCCTGATTCAAATTCCAAAAGACACCGGTGAACGCCTACAATAACATTTCTATCAGAAATCGGCACAGGAAACTAATCCTTATTTTTATTCTAGATGACTTTTTTTTTTTTAAACGTGTCCCTGTCCTATGCTTTTGGTCTTGGGAACGCAGTTAAAGAAAAGACTTGAACAGGTTTCGCACTCGGAGTATCTAACTGCTTCTCAATTCCAAACTTGCGTCTGAACATTCTGACAGATTTCCCATTCTGTCTTGGAAAACTGCAGTACTGAAGGGGTGTAGCGTGGTTATAACATTCCAAAGTAACCTTAGAAGACATTCTCAAATTGCCCACTTCCCAAAACTCTTCACGTAGGACGCCAGCCTTTTCGATTTTCTCCGAACTGCTTTCACCCAGAAATGCTTGTACTGATTTCAATCTTCCCAGCTAGCAGGAACAGTAGCGGATGAGGATACTTTCTGTTCACTGCGCCGTTCCCCTCCCTCTCCCTCAAAATCCACTGTGAAATCCAATAATTAGGGAGGCGGCTCCCGCTGAAAAAGAATTGAAAAGAAGGAAAAAAAAAAGAAGCCCAGGCGGAAGAAAGGAGGTGTTGGGAACCCGGCTCTCGGCTTTTACACTTTGTTGATAAACCTCGGCTTTACGCGAGGTAACTTCCGTCTGCTTTAGACTTTGGAAAACAACAGTGCCGTAAATTTAAGAGCCAAACAATCGGCGCCGCGCCTTCGGAAGTCTCCCCGCGCGCGGGCGGGCGGGCCGCGGCGTCCCTCCGGCGACCCCGACGCACGCATCCCACGTGCACCCCGCGAACGCCGAGCCCTCCAACTTCAGCGCGCCCGCCGCCCGGGTGCAGAACAACACCTCGCTCGGTGCGCCCCGTGCCAGGCCGCCCGCCGTCCCGAGCATCTGCCCCGAAGCCCCGCGCCGGCCTCGGCCCCGGCGCAGCCGCA